GGAGTAATTATGTCATCATTGTCATGGTTAAGCGAAGGATACTAGGCGAAAGCGAATCAGTCAATGAGTTTCCAAACCTTCGACGACTGAACTAACTTGGACATCGGTTGCTCATACCGAGCCGCTGCCTATCTTGGTGTGCAATGTCAGTCGAATTAGGATTAAGTTGGAAGAGGATTGATGATAGTCAGCCCAAGACGTGGCACCGGTTAGTGAAGTCTCTGACTGTTTATCTAAGCCATATAGGCAGGTGTGATACAGACTATCAGACTGGAGTCCTCGCGATAACGGATTTCAAGGGTTGGAGATGTTTCTTGACATGGCTGGGAGTTAGTTACAATGCTGCCAATGTATTCAGTCCACTCTTTGATGTCTCTTCTGAAGTTTGAACATTTCCACTTGTCTGTTTTGATATCATTCTTTCTCGATTCATTTTTTCTGTCCATGCTTCTATGAATTGTGGTGAGTTGGGCGGATGCACTTCTGTGTGACATTCTTATTTGATTTTGTCTGTCATTCTGATTACATTAAATTCAAGAGTCCCTGCTATTATAGCGAAAACCTCATTGTCGAGCTAGTGTAACTAGTGTTAACTAGTTCTGCTTATTTGATTTATAACCCACGGTTATATAGTATTATTTATTTGATGACGTATAGGAATGACGCAACACCTACACCAGAGATATGGAAAATTTTACTACCAATAAAAACAAAGAATATGAGGTGACAGGACTATAAAAACCAAATGTCGAAAGTTGTGTGATTACATTGATATGATTATGAGCAATAATTTAATTTGTGCTGGAAACGTCATCAAATAAATAATACTATATTACTGTATGTTATAAATCAAATAAACAAATTTAATATGGAATCAAATTCTGTCACAGTGCCCAATAATTGCACCTATACTAACGAAGTTACCCAGCTCAGATTTTTAACTTTTGGTATTTGCTTCTTTGAGTCCCAAGCTAGGACTAAGCAATTGTTTAGTTGTATGTGTATGTATCAGTTCCATTAATATAGGTGTAAAACTTGGGCAGTGTAGTAGAATTTAATTCCATATCAGATTTGTTTATTTGATTTATAACATACAGTAATCTAGTATTATTTACTTGATGACGTTTCGAGCATAAATTATCACTGCTCATAATTATATCAATGTAATCACACTACTTTCGACATCATCAAACATCGATAGAACAAAGTGGGTAGTCAATCTCTCCTCGAGAAGCCTAAGCTTAGCTGAGACGAAAGTACTCGAAAAAGGACTAAACTTCAACGTGACAATAGGTCATCTAAACCCAGAAGATGTCATACCCAGCATAGAAGTAGCGTTAAGCTCGGTGGATGCAGCAACAGCTGAATAGGTTAGGGCACAGTGTGCGTTAACAATGAAAAGACAAAAGAAAAGATAGCGGAACTTAACAAAACTTGAAAATTCAGCTCTGAATAGTCTACGGAATGACAATAATATAGTAATTGTTAAGTCTGATAAAGGCAATTCAACAGTAGTTATGGCCAAATTGGATTACTTCGACAAAACTGATTGATAACTATAAGAATCCAATGTCGGAAGTAGTGTGATTATGAGCAATAATTTATACTCGGAACGTCATCAAGTAAATAAGTACTAGATCACCGTGTGTTTTAAATCAAATAAACAAGTCTAGTATGGAATTAGTTCATCATGTTAACTATCTTTTCTGAGTTGTTCATAGGTATCATGGTACGTAGGTTTCAATGTTTTGCGGTAATTTTTTTATACTGAAAACGACCGAGTTAATTACTACCCACCAACCTTCTAATTAATATCCGACAACATTGTATTCATGCTCCTTTGTGTTGGTTGCAATAATCAGTTTCTAAAACTAGATGAATAACATATGATCAAAACACATCAAATGATTAGTAAACATCCTAGGAATGCCGATGACCAAAAACCATGCACCATTTCTGTCCTATTTGAGTCAGTCATTTGATCACTTTATTTGTTTCCAGGTGGTTACGACATAAGAAGTAAACATTTTCAAGCTTCTAACATTTGTGTTTTAGAATACTCAGTACGCATTCTTCTCTTTCATCTTACTTTACTAAGGATCCCTACATATCTTTGGTGTGTAGGTAATCCTTCTTGTCTGATGTATTGAAGTTCTTTAACGTGACTGACTTTTTTCTTTTAAGAGCTTTATTGAAAAGATAAGGTTAAACTTCACAGAATTGTTCTGTCTTATCGCCCTAATCTTGGTGATTATTTCAAAGCCATTTTTCCAGTAATTTTCTTCAACTTGACAAAACTTCTTTTGTAACTAATAAAGTTATGACCTAGTGGTTTGAGCTTTGAACCGTTACAGGTGCCTCCAATTTACTTCATACCGGTCTTTCCTTACAGTACATACAGTACATGTTAACCATTCTTGAAAAGGTAACTACAATTTCATATGAATTCTGTTTCCCACTTCTCTATGCCTAATTATTTCAGACTGTATGTTGACTATACTGTCTGAAATTATCACCTTTTGTTGAAAAAACATATCCACATACTTTCCATATTCTAGATTACATGGGAAGATTTGCCTGTTCCAAGCTGTTTCTGTAAGGTGTTTCAGTTATTTCCTCAGGAAAATAGGCAGAAATTTCTTTTCTTAACAGATCGATCAGCTGCTAATAATTATCACTTGTACATGTTTTAGCACATTGCTATTCCATCCGCTTAAGTGTAGACTTCATCTTCGACAACTAATTTCAACTCTGCAGCAGTAGTATACAACTATACAACTATTCTCTAACTAAGCTATTTGGTATAATAATAGTGACAAAGTTATCTAACACTCATTGGATTTCATAAACAAAACTGAAAGAGAACTCTCTCTAGGTGGATGTTTGCATTTGTGTACCTTGACATCAACTACTCAGCATAGATGAGCAAATAAGTGCACCGTGATTAAAGTTTCCTTTGTTTTGTACACATTTAAACTTGGAGAACGTTAGTGAATTCTCATACTGGCCTGTCTGATTATACTATAATAATTGGAGCTCTAGGTTTCTTGTAAAACCACTTTGCTTTGTCATAACGGATTCTATTCTAAACATAGTATTCTGCACATGTGGTTCTCTCTCTCTCTCTCTCACCCTCACTACCTCTCTGTATGTGATTATATTAACCCTTGTACTTTGCTTTGTGATGCGATGCCTACAGCTGTGTATAAGTAAGTGCGTAGATATATTCTAAAGAATGCATTGGTGTTGTACATACAAAAGGGTATTGATGTGTTCTTGTACATCATTCGACAGATAATACGACGCCTATATATAGCATCACATACAAATACGCATACAAACACACACGCACCTGTCCTACATGATTGACCTGGTTTTTGATGGTTCAATACTAAAAATATGGATTCTTTCAATCAATGAAGTTATTGATCTCCTTTCGAAATAACGTTAGATGACCATGTTATAAATTGAATCGCTTGTTTCTCCTGTTTTCATGTGATGCTTAGGGGAGCAGCGGACCTCTGTTGATTTTAACAGACAGATGATTTGAAATGACGAATGAACATAGATGTTCCAGCTTTACAATATTCAAAGTGAAGATAGAACACATTTTTAAGTGTCGACTACATGGGTACTGAAATCATGGAACTCAGAAATTTTAAAAAGATTTTTGTCTTTTTAAATCTAAAAGATGTGTAGTAGTAAATACAGTAAGCTGGAATATCATATTCTTCTGGATTAAACTCTGAGCTGAATGACAAGGCGAAGTTACTGAAATGAGTAAGCTTCTATTGCACTCAAAGTTAGACTGGTAGCCGCCTGCTTAGATCATAAATCAACTACTGTACGGTTAAATTTAAAATTTTGATTTTCTCACCAGACTAGTTCCATCGATTAATCAACTGATTACTGAGCAGAGGATTGTTGCCGAAGGACAGGACATACTATGCTAGCTAAAGGATCCACTACCAGAAGAATATAATATACCAAATTAACTAATTTTGCCTGTCAACAACAGTGTATTGGTCAATCCAATCGTAGAATTTATGAGCATCAACTTGTAGTCAAACTGTATGATATATCCTCATTGATATCCATACATGTAGATGAACACAACAACAACTTCACTTAGGACAACGCAAAAATACTACGACAAGCAAGATCAAAAACTGCAAGAGAGTTCCTGGAAGCATGATGCTCCAATTAAATGTCAATCAAGAGACACATGGATATTGTCCCCGACATGTTGGCTAGTAAGAAGGGATCAACCAACTGGAAATCGATCAAGCGAATCAATAAGTCAGTGTTGAACTATATCAAAATAACAGCGGAATATATATTTCAAAGTCATCAACTAGTATTCAGAGCTTCTCATGAGTTTTCTTACAGAGTACGCAACACAGTCTTGCATCATGTATCTTTCTATCGTAAAATGTATATTGACTATGTTTCTGCACGAAGATTTCAGTAAGAATGAACTTGTCTTTATCCAGGATACCGTAACCAAGTTCACATTTTGTGAGGCGAAGAGAAAAATTTGTAAACCTAATTTCATACCTCAGGTTTTCGGAGAAATACATTATTGCCTGGGTACCAATGTACACTGTTTAGTCGAGAACTTCTTTTAACTGTCGATTTGATTGCTTTGCAGTGGATGTTTTGGTGCCACCTTGGGCCGTATAGTTTTGAATCTCAGGTAGTCATTTTCGAGACTACAAAGAAATACGTAAGACTGGATCACTAGGCGACATCTAAGTGGAGCATGTTAATTTGAAACTGGTTCATGTACTTCATCTCAACTTTACTATTTACTACAGATTTTGTGATGCCTCATTTGCCATAAAACGAATTTAAGCATGAGTTGGTAATTACACACTAATCTGCTTTGTATAACAATGCTGGGATAAGATAGACGAAGGACAAGACTGCATTTTATCGCTTCTGAAAAGTTGTCTCATAAGCAAATCATTCATATCAATCTTCCTCATTTCCTTTTCCAGAAAATACCTTTTAACGGGAACAGATGCACTAAAAGATCACTCAGCTGTTCGCCTTGTTACTATCGCCTCATAGCTGTTTCAGCCACCTGAAATAATATCTCACTTTCAGATAAAAGTAACGGAGTGTTCTGTTACAATTTGGATGTTCGCAATAAGATGACTATTGGTATGTGTAAAACGTATTTGCTGATTTGCCGTTAATTTACCGCTTGTCATCCAGTGCAGTGACTACTGTTCTCGACTAATCTGTTTGTAAGCCTGAGATAGATCACACTGCTTGGCCGCTACGCCAATAGTTTCTAAAATGAACAGCCCAAACAAGACAAACACCTGATGACCAGGCTCATCTCACTTATAAGCTTCCTTCATGATCCCAGATTGTTTCCTAGACTAGAGAATAATTGGACAGACACGGCGAGATTCTCAACAAATGATTCAGACCAACGGTGTTAGTAGGCTACTTTAGGTCAGTCATCTTTAATGTTTCAATGCGGTAACTAACCTGACCGGTAACCAACATTTCATCCACATAGAATCGATGCAATCAGTCTGTCTGCCCCGACCAGTCTAAATGCTAAAACAAGAGTAATAGAACTGATTTAAATTATTAGTGAGCAAAAAATCTGTGTGGACTTGATTTCGATTATCAAAAAAATGCGTGGGCGGACAGAATGAGAGGGGAGATTTTCCATCCATGCGAGTTCAAACAAGGATCAGATAGGAATTCATTTAGACTGAAGGGTTGTTTGTTTTGTTTGTTATTTGATTTGTTCAGCAGATTAGTGTTAGAAAAAAGTTGATCCCAGATGTGTTTGTTGTCTCATCCCTACTTCTTGATGAGAAAAATTAAGGACAACAGTCCCTCCAGCCTAATTAGATTTCAGGAGCTTTGTCTGCTACGTAGTCATTTCACTGATAGTTTCTCCGATAATGTACTTTGAGGTCAATAGGGATTGCATTTATTTCTATTCATTACGGACTGATATCGCTTAGAAAATTAACAAAAATTTGTGAGGACTGGACAGCTGTTCCATGCTAGTGTGGGACTCCTCAGCAATACTCACAGACGAAATTCTAATGAAAATCCATGAACAGTGGGGTTAATCAGTTGAACGTGAGGCAAATAGTGACTGAAGACCTTGGTTGATAGTCGCACTATATCGCAAATCGACAGAAGTAAAAAAGTGTGGACAGTTGAACTGCGACCCAATGGCTGAGTGGTTAACGCGTTCACTGCGAGACCTGAAGGTCCTGAATTCGACTCTTGATGAGGTGTTGGATGCGTAGTGTTGAGGAGTCCCATACTAGAATGAAGGAGCTGTTCAGTACTCCCAGGTTTTCAATAGTTCTCCAGCTGATGTCGGTTCGTGATGAATACTGCCTTGGAATTTCTTCGGTGTTTCAGCTCAGACATAATCTATATCTGTTGCGGGTTAGAAAGCGGTGACATTTCAGTCATACGTTTCATTTTTATCTCGTAAGAAACATACCAGCCGATTCTTCGTATAACATCGCAACAAGCACTACATGAGTGCACTTTTTAAGGAGTACGCATAACATGAGATAGTAGTCAGTTAACTACCATCACTACACTTCCTACATTGATATGTAGAATCTGAGCATTGTTTGTTTCACCTCTACTCTTTTATCCACACATTCACTTATCTGTCCCCTGTAGAATGATGAGTTGAAACTCACTTCATCTATTTCCGTTGGGTTGTAACATAGTATTGCTGGCTGTCATGTACACATTGTGTGTGATCCATATCTTAAATCACGAAAATACAAATGTCTGTAGTACATTTGCCAGCTTGTCTGATGATGACCTCCTAGTATGAGAACGTTTTCTTCTCGTCTTGCAATGAAATCCTTCCTATATCTCAGACGCTACAAAATGAACCCATCATATAGATGGGTACTTTTATACCTTTATATAACTACCTAAACGTGTCATTATAGTATCGGTAGAAGAATTTCATTGTTTTTCTTTCAAAAAATCTGACGAATCTTTCACTTATTCACATTTCCTACATCATTTTTATCATGATTTATCATGTACACTTGTTAACCTTGAGGTTGAAATCTTTTCTTATTATGAAGAACCCACAATTATCTGGTTCACCACACAGTTCCAGCCAGTCAGTATTTACCAGTATGAATAACCGTAAAAAAAACTCTAGTTTAAGAATTGTTGAGAACTAGTGACACTGACAAGTTATTTCTGTCTCCATTTTTGAAACTCCGTATCTGTGAGCACCTGAACCATTCTCGTGTTGCGCCCTTCTACTGAGTAGATGATATCACCATAGAAAACTGCAACTTGTGATGTCAAGTTAGTCAGAAGAAAGGAGGAATCTTATGCTATGATGTCAAAGAATAATAGTGAGGCTTAAGTGACCCACACAAGCTGTAAATTCCTGACGCTTAGAGTCGAACTTATCACTTTAGTAGTAATGTGCCCATTTGGATGCCGGAAGGCTAACTGTGTTGCAAAATAGGACGAGACAATTATAGAATCCTGGTTGTATCATCGTCATTCGTGTTTAATTAATTGGGTAAACTGTTTAGTTCTCAAAGTAAATTTTCGCTTCTTAGGTAAGGATTATGATAAAATTGCTGCTGTAATTAGTGTGCATTTCCCTAGAGGCTGACGGATATCATGTGATCAAAGAAAGAGTCGTTTTATTCTCAATGTCAAATTACTTTTGCGAAGAATTCTCCTGCATTTACTGTTTTTACCCGCTGAATTTGTTTACACTGGTAAATTTGTGTATTTAGTTACGCTTACATCAAACCATTTTAATTTGTTTTAAATATCCTAGAGCTAGTTATTAAGATAAAATATATTTATTTCATATTGATGGATTCAAGAATTTCTAGTCAGTGTTAGAGTGGATTTTCTTATCACACTCTATTGATTCATAAAACCTATTGTTCTGCTAAAACATAACATCTTGTTTAGTGCTTATCTCAGTGTTTGAATAAATAAACCTTTATTGTATTAGTAGTTATTTTCAACATGAATTTTTAATAGTTTAATCCGGATTTATGGGTGTTTATGAAGGACTAATTCGTATGCGGTGGGATCATTGATTGAGTACTGCTTGACTTAGAAATAAACTTCTAGCTAAAGAATGCAATGTGGTCGAGAAACTTGTGGATTCATACCAACTTACACGAATTAGTTGTATAATATTCATGGTAAAGTCATTACCTAACCAAAGTGAAATGCTGGCTAGAGTGGGACTTAACTGGAAAAAGTCAAGATTGATCAGTCAAACCATGACATTCATTAATGAAGTCATTGACTGGTGGTCTCAGGTGTTTGCAGAAGTATTGAGTATTCGGCTTACGCCATCGAAGTGTTAGGAATAAATGACTGCAGGGAAAGTCAAGTGGGTCAAAACCAGTTACAGTGACACATTTGCATTTGTTTTGATTTCTCCTTCCACTCTTGAACGGTACCCTGTCTTTTTTATTTTGTGTAATTTCTTGTCCCCCTACTCGCATATCCCAACGTTTTTTTGCCTTCGAAGAAAGCCTTCATAATGGACCAACGCCGGGAAGAGAACTATGAAGAATGTAGTACTTTTCAACGGTGCACATCGGTAATCGTTCACGGAATCTAGCTTTAACAAGCGTTTTTTTCCAGTTTTGTTATCGACTGCAACAAACTCGCAGATAATTTGATCATTGATTATGCCTCAACTTATCTTTTGATATATGCAAGTAGAACACTCACCTAGTTCCTGAAGTCAAATTTTCCCTTTAAAAAGCATTAAAGGGAATTCATATTATATTGATTGGTTACCTTAAGAATTGGTTTCTGTTCTACCTTGAATTTTACATGGATGTGTATTGCTAAATGCTCTCAGGATATCTCAAAACCATCCCTAACTTGAAGTGTTTGGTTAAGTGATGATTATTTGTATTGAAAAAGCCATTTTAAAAAATCGTATATAGTAATCGTATTGCATTTCTATATGTAGTTACAATTTCATTGTATTTTTACATGAGTTTTTATCCCACTTTATAAGAAAACAGCACTATATTTAATATTTGTGTTATACATTCATGACGGTAATGGCACATTTTCTGATTTAGTCATATTTAGCCGATCTAGGAGGAGCGGGGTCTTTTTAAGACTCCATCATACATTGATTGGTTGTGAGAGAGCAACCAATTTCATGTTATATAGTCCTGAGTACTGAGCAAATTCTATTGATCATTTGGCAATGTGGCCACCAAGCTAGGAGGCTCATCATCGTGGTGCACAGTGATAGACGTTAGTTGGTTGGAGGCAATCGATAGAAAGCCTTGGACTCTACTTAGGTTTCGTGCTTGTTGGCACTCATCAGCAAGGTGTATGTGCAACCCGAGGAGACTGATGTCTCGTCTTGTATTCAAACCCACGTCATCCAGTGTTGCAGTCACCAACGTTACTACTGAGCTATTCGGGCCGAACAAGCATGAAACCTAGGGCTTCCTATCAATTGCCTCCAATCAATTAACATCTAAAGCTTCATCAAGATTGCATTGTCGAGTATAATAATGACAGTAATAATAACAATAATAATAATATTTCTGCAAGGTGATTGGGACTGTCACTTCTGGGGATAAAGTTAGTTAGACGGAATGTGGTTGGAAAATCATCATGGTAGACAGGTTTAACACAAAGGACAGGAAATTTGGAATGAAAGAGAGCAAGTCAAATCAGAAGTAATGTGTGAATATATTTGGAAAAAGTTATTTTGTTAAAACTACAAATCAATAACAGTGAAGGATACTGATTACATTAAAATGATGATGATGACTGCACAGCTATACTTATATTCACTATTAAAATGTTACCCACCATTCAGAGTTAAATGCATGAATAACTTAGAGAATTTGTTAGTCAGTGAGAATGACACTTTGATTATACACCAACACGTAAGAGCTAAATTTTCATTTGAAACTCATCATTCAGATGGGTTCTGTCTTTGGCTAAAGTTCTTGTTATTTCTGTACCTTACAAGGGCTTTGAGTGAAGATCCTATAGATTTTTACCAGCCAGCTCAAATTTGTGTGTTTATGAGTAATGTGAAGTTTTTTTTATTCAAGAATAAATGAAATAGATGTTCATATAAGATCGATTTCCCATCAATGGCAGTTTCATATATAACG